TATGTGTGTGTGTGTGTGTGTGTGTGTGTGTATGTATGTGAGAGTGTGTATGTATGTGTGTGTGCATATGTATGTATGTGTGCACGCGTGAGTGTGTGTATGTGGGTGTGAGAGTGTGTATGCATGTGTGTGTGTGTGTATGTGGGTGTGAGAGTGTGTATGTATGTGTATGCATGCGTGTGTGTGTGTGTGTGTCTCACCTCCGTGCGGTTGAACTTGACGAAGTGCATGCTGTCCAGCCCCCACTTGTACGACTGGTAGGGCTGGGCACGGTCCCCGACCCACAGGTCCAGCGACTGACCGCACGCCACAAACATGTCCTCTTTCTCGTGGTGGTCAATGCTCTGGTACACGTACTGGGGACAGGCCGACAGGGGGAGTCAGGGAGTGTGGGTGAGGTTTTGTAAGAGTTTTACGGCCCTTGCAACACAATAAGGTCATGAAAGTGCCGAAGATTAGAGGTGTTACAAGAGAGCAACAAACACAAAAAAGGAGGGGAGATAAAGACGATAGATGTGTGATAGGAAAGAAGAAGCAAACCGCACCAGAGCACCCGCCGACCACCCACAGGGAGTGTGTGTGGGTGCTTGTGAGTGGATTTTTTTTTATAGTAGAGGGTTTTACGGCGCTTGCAACAGCATAAGGTCATATGAGCGCCAAGGGGTGGGTGTCAACAGAGAAGTCTTTACATGAAATCAGACTTACTCTGCTCACCTCTCTAGCTTCAACAGCACAAGGTCTGCTTCGACTATCAAGGCACCCCGGAAATAGCAGGTCACAAGAGAGTGACAAACATACAAAAGAAGTAGAGGAAAATGACAATAGAAAGGATTAGGAACGAAAAAGCAACAGCTCCCTGTTGTAGATCAGGCACAGTTATGAGCATGACATGATGAATCAGCCCATTTACAATTCGACTGTGCTTGAACGAGAAATGTCCCCCCTTTGGGAATGGCCTAAACATACTACAGTCAGTGGCACTGCCCCGGGGGTATTTAGTTTTTGTAAGAGTTTTACGGCCCTTGAAACACAATAAGTTCATATAAATGCCGAAGATTAGAGGTGTTACAAGAGAGTAACAAACACAAAACAAGAAGGAGGGGAGATAAAGACGATAGATGTTTGACAGGAAAGAAGAAGCAAACCACACCAGAGCACCGGTTGACCAGCCACAAGGAGTGTGTGGGTGCCCATCAATGTATGTGGGTGTGTGAGTGTTCAAAAATGTAAGTGGACGTATGAATGTCTCCAAATGTATGTGGGTATATGAGTGCTAAAAAATGTATGCAGGTGTATGGGTGTCTTAAAATATATGTGGGTGCATTAGTGTTTATAAAGGCATGTAGGCGTATCAGTGTCCATGAATGTATGTGGGCATATGAGTGCCTTTTCTTCTTCTACTTAATACTCTATGACAGACAACCAAGTGAACAAGAATATGTGCAGGCACATGAGCGCACATGAGTTTGTGTGGCTGTGAGTGCACATGAGTCTGTGTTGGCCTATGAGTGCACATGAGTCTGTGTTGGCCTATGAGTGCACATGAGTCTGTGTTGGCCTATGAGTGCACATGAGTCTGTGTTGGCCTATGAGTGCACATGAGTCTGTGTTGGCCTATGAGTGCACATGAGTTTGTGTTGGCCTATGAGTGCCTGTCATGGCCAAAGGGGGCTGAGAGGGATACAAAGTTACAGCAGAGAGATCTCACCTTATTCAGAATCGTTCTCACAGGTTCTGGGTTAATTTCTCCTTCCTCAGAGCACGCCCACAGCTTGATGTTGGTGTCTTGGCCGCACTGAAAGAGACGAGAAGCAAATCACGATAGGAACAAACACCGACACAATACCCATGTCCCATCCATCAGAGCTCTGATCCCCTGGAGAGGATGTAAATAAAAGTAAGTAAGTATATGGGTTTTTAAATATTTTTTAGTAAATGCTTTAGGGTGCCCACAACTGCTATGTCATATGAGCGCGCAGGACACCTGGAACATTTTCAGTTCGTAGAAATTTTTTTATTTTGCCCAGGTGGCGGCCGAAGCCTACTCTTATCAATTTTAGATCACCAAGGGATCTTTCACGTGCACAACTTGCACTCGGGACCTCCAAGATTTTTCGTCCATGTCCAAGAAGGCTAGGTGTAGATCTTTTCTACCAGAAGATCAGGGGTGTGGCAGAAGGACAGCAGCAAGAAGGGGCCAAGGAGTAGCAGTAGAAAGGCTGCAGAAAGAGTCAGGAGCCCAGATGAGGGGGGTAAAGGAGGTGAGGGGGGTGGGGGCAGAAAGTGGAGTTGAAAGTACATGACAGAACATTACTAGAGAGCAGGAAAGGGGGTGAAAGGAGACAATTTTAGCGAAGAAAATTTTTTTGGGTCGCTACCCATTTTCGAACCCGAGACCTTTGAATGAGAGTCAAACACCTGAACTTCTAGACCACGAGAGCTCTCATGTAAGGGTTAAAAGCCTCTATCAACACTATTAAGTTATCTATGATGCGAGAATCCCGAATCTGACGTCCGTCTCCATTAGGGCCAAGCCAACTGGGTTGAGAGCCTAGACAACTCCATAAGACGACCCTAGTTCAAGAACGCCCACTCTGGAATTCAAATCAAGGCCATCCGTTGCGTAGTTCAGCATGATACCAACAACGCTGAAGAATGCCCTCGAGATGATGTCAAGAGAAAATGAGGCGAGGAGTTTGGTTTTAGTGAGCATTTTACGGCACTTGTTACACAATCAGGTCATATAAGTGTAGAGGATTAAAGGTGTTACAAGAGAGTAACAAACATTAAAAAGGAGGAGGGATAAGGGTGATAGATGTTTGATGGGAAAGAAGGAGCAAACCATACTAGAGCATCTGCCAAATCACCAACAGGTCAGGAATGGGAGAAGTAAAATAATCCCAACACATGCACTACGAATAATTTAATAAATTTAACCCAGTCCATTTCATGAACCAAGATAATCAAAATCACTCGTATCAACTCACAGACAGGAAAAAGTTCCCAGACCGGTGGGCACAAAGACTGTGAACTACTCCATCGTGGGCAGGAACATGGCTCAGACATTTTTTCGTCGTCAGATCCCAAAGACGAATCTGTTGAAGAAGTTACAGAATGAAAACAACTTAGCAAAAGAAACTGTGGAAATTGTCAAGCATAGACAGTGAAACCCTAAAAAGTTGTACCCCTAAAATTCAAACAGTGCAGGCAAAACAAATTTTTAAACAATATAAATGTAGGCCTACAGCCGAACTTGCCCTGACAGCTATCAGTTAAAACAACCAGTCCCCCCCCCCTCCCCTCCAATACTTTCTACATAATGGCACTGTTTAAGATGGCAATATGTCTATTATTTCATGCCTCATTTGGAAATATAGGGGAGTGGTGTATGAAAATTTTAGACTCTTTAAGGTGGCAAAAGTGAGTGCTGACAAAAAAAAAAAAAAAAAAAAATAAATAAAATATTTTAACAATTTAAAAAAAAAAGGTTGACAAGAAGAAGTGCTATATAAACTATTCAACTGTTACCTCCCCGTCACTGGCCGAAGACAACACATGAGACAAGCGGGTCGGGAACTTGGCCAGAGCTTCAATGCTATCCCGATGTCCCTCTAGTCCACACAAGAAGGGCTTGGCAAACACTCGCTCCAGTTTCGTAGCATTCAACGCTCTTTTGTACTCTCTTTCTACAGCAAATGGATGTAGGTAGCTTTCTGGATTCTGGGGAGCTGCATGGGAAAGGAGAGTACTGATATGCCATTAAACAAACGCAACTTATTACTATTACTAGAGACTCAATCTCAAGTGAGACTTAACTGTAAAACAAACAAGGCTGACAAGAAGACGCAGAGAGTCAACGAGACTGAAAGAATCATCAAGTATAATAATAATAATAATAGATAGCAATTGTATAGCGCATAACCCCGCTCGAAAGCAAGCTCTATGCGCTTTACACTATATTATTACCCCAGCAGACCATAGAACACTCAGAAACATTCTCAGCTTCCCGGGAAGCATACAGTGCAAGCAGCTGATTAAGCGCTCAAACAGTAACAAACTCACAAGATCTTTCACTGTCTATAGCTGGGTACCCATTCCCACCTGGGTGAAGTGAGGAAAATTCGTGTAAAGTGCCTTTCCCAAGGACACAACATCGGGTCCCTGACAGGATTCGAACCCACGACCTTACGGTTGCGAGTCCGAGAGCCTAACCACTAGGCCACCGACGCCACTAAAACAAAAGACAAAAAGAACGTTCCTGAAACAGGCTTGTCCACAATGAAGAGAATTTGATCTCCCGGTCTGCTGAACACCGGGCACAACAGCAGGCGAAAAAAAATGTGTGACTTTCGTGTAGTTGACAGATTATATATCTAGTGCTTATAGTAAGCGAGTTATAGCCATTCCAACAAGCAGACCGTGTCATACCCGGCCACAGCGGAAATTTCCTTAGCACACGGGGTGGACTTTTGGTTAGCAGTGAAGGGGTTAAGAATATATGTCAGCTTTTTATGATGACTTTAGACCATGCCAACCGTAAAAGATAAGTTAATTCAATCTAGCATGCCGTACAATCAAAAATTCTTTTTCCCCGTTGAGACGCGAACACCCCGAGACGAGATAACCTCGCCTCGGAATACCCCCATTGCGATGTTACAGGGGAATAGAGAGAAAAACAACCGGATGCGCGCGGCCGCCATTGCCCTATTTCAAGTGACCAATGAACGGGCCCGGAATAGTCATGCGGGGATTTGTAGGTCACATACATTTGCCATGAGAGTGAGGGGAAAATGGCCGGTCTCCGTGCGAAGCCGCTTTGGATAGAGGGGTAGTCGTGCATTTATGATCGGGTCTAAACAACTACTTGACACAGAACGTTCAAATTTGAGCACACTATAGAGGATAGATAGATCTATTACCATCTCAGCGTTGAAATTCAGACTCCTTATAGTTTTCGGTGTACACGATACGAAAGTGTTCCCGACACCAAAAGTATAGGTTAATTTATGTGTACGAACTTCAACATTAGTTTGCCCTATTTTCTGATTGGTTGCTGAGTTTAATTCGGATTGGTTCGGAAATAGAGCAGACCGAGGTTGACAAAGTAAGTCACCTACGCTTCAGCCGGGTCCGCAAAATCGCCAGTAAACGGGGACCAAATTTTCGCCGCGCGGGAAAGCCCGATTGGCATTGCTAAACAATGTCATAATTTCAATCGAGCAGTCACCCTCTCTCTCTCTCATCTGTCTCTGTGTATCGCTCGCATTCTCTTTTTCTTTCAAACTTTCTCTCTTTCCCCCCTGTCAACTGGGGCATGTCATACATTTTGCTAGCACTTCCCCCCTGCTCTCTCTCTTGCTCTTTCTCTCTCTCACACACATACACTACCGGGTCTGGGCGCTGAAACTTTCCGACATCACAGGGAGCGTATACAGACCTGGTAACCAGGAACAAAGGCACAAAGTATACAGACCCGGTAGGGGAACTCTTTTGTGATTTCGGAGAGTATCTGCGCCCTCTTGGCTCAGGGTAGACCGAGGTTCTTCTAGATCTGTGGCTTAGGTCTAGATCAAGATCTAGGCAGACAGACATAAATCTTTGATCTAGTTTCGCGGCTAGATCTAAATGAAGACTGCGGATGTCTTTTCGATGAACAATCGTTTTTTCCCTCTGTTTTGGAGTTGGAGGAATCGCAAGACGCAATTTGAAGAAAAGAACAATGTTCATAATTTCAATCGAGCAGTCACCCTCTCTCTCTCTCTCTGCATCGCTCGCCTTCTCTTTTTCTTTGTTTGTCTCTGTCTTCCTTTGTCCCCACCTATTTCACACTCTATCTTTCTCTCCTCGTTCCCTCCTGCCAACTGTGACATGTCATTACATTTTGCTAGCACCTCTCTCTCTTCACTCTCTCTCTCTCTCACACACACACACTAGATTTCTACCGGGTCTGGGGGCTGTAGGGGAACTGTATACTTCGTGACTTTGTTCCCGGTTACTGGGTCTGTATACACTTCGGACATCACAAAAGAGTTCCCCTACCGGGTCTGTATACTTCGTGACTTTGTTCCCAGTTACCGGGTCAGTATACACTTCGTTTGTCCACACGTAGAGTACTATGAGTGCGTAGTTAGGCTAAGCGTGTGTAGTAATCACGGGCCGAGACGGGTGGATCGTGGACTTTAACGAACGGAACTACAAGATCACCAAGTATCGATATCCAGTAGTCTTTGCTCGTGTGATTTAGTGTTAGAATTAACACGGGACCTAAATTGTACAGGAGTGCCCAACCAATTCATTCAGTGTGTGACCGTGAGGAAGTTGTTTGTGGCTGACATACCACACACAGTAGGGGCCTATAGATCTAGATTTCTAGTAGGCTACATGATGCACAGCACAACAACGTCAACGCGACGACCGACGAAGTCCACGTCCACATGGTACGGTAACATTAAATCTTGATCTAGAGCTAAGACTGAACGACTACAATGATCAAAAGACACACAGGTAAAACGTACGAACCTTTATGAATGTCTAGTTTTGTTTCTCTTTTGTAATCATCTGGGTTTCTGGAAAGAACTTTCAAGGAAAAGTTCTTCTTCTTCCTGACGGCCGCCATGCTTGCTTGTTGTTTATTTACGATTTTATACTGTTCGAGTTTATCGCTTTGTATTGAGCGTCAAGTATATACAAAAGTTTGAGGCTTTGATACAGAACAAAACATATATGTTTGATTATTGTGAACTTCAAAAGATTCTGTTTCATTTCAAATATAAAGAGAGAGATCTTCTTTTATCTTTAAAAGTATATTATTTAAAAAATAATAAATGATAGAAAAAGAGAATCTAATTTATAATATAAGCTGATATTATATACCTTGTTTTTCTTCATTTTTTGCTTCTTTGTTTTTAAATACTGCTTACCTTATAAAGGACTACACTAATTTAAACTTTATTTTGTTTGACAATTGACATTTTCTTCAGCTAACAAGAAGGAAACTACAAAGGTTTACTATTACATTGTCTTATTTAATTAGCTGCATGTCCTAAGTGAAGTTACATATTCTTTGCTTAGCTGCTGTATTATAGATGTTAATGTAGGTCCAATTTTAGTTGGTTTTTGTTTTCAGATATAATTTCATGAGTGAGCCCGAGAATTCCTGTGCTCTGGCTCTACTCAAAAATCTCAGTTCTCAGACTCTACTCAAGAGTCAGAGTCAAGATTCTAATCCACTTTTACTATTGGGAAAACAAGCAAACGAATCAATAAGCAGTATGTACCGCAGTATGCTTCAATTTTATCAAAGGATTTGGCGAAAGCTGTTTAAAGTGGACGAAGCTGCTCTGGGGCAGCCCGAGAATTTAGTGTTCTCAGAAAAACCCTTGCGACCATGTCTTTGGACACTTTGGTGGATCTGCTTTTGGAATGAATACTGAGGGCTGGGGGGGAGAGAAATAAAATTATTGACAAAGTGATTGCAGTTTCAAATGCAGGTTTCCCTTTAACGAAAGATCAGTTTTTACATGTGTTTAATAATCTACATAAAACGAAATAAGATGATTTCCCAGTACGGCGAATTTCCCCTCAGTCTCAGGGACTGGTGAATTGTCCTGATATATATGGTGGCGAAGTTCCTCGTCACCACATCCACTTGAAAAAAGAATGAAGCAGCTGAAGTACGACTAGCAAGCAAACTAATCAGTTGGCTATCTGAATTTTCATTGGCTATGAAAAGTTGCAGACAAAACAGGAGACATTTGAGCATAGAGAGTGTGTAGTTTCGTCGTGCGAAGTGACTATTCGGACTCTGATTCTTGTCCAGCATGACATCACTTCCGACTTCCTGTGACTCGTGACTCCGGCTTCCTGTCCTGCCTCACTCGTGACTCGCCTCAGACTGGGTAGAGACCGGGATCACTTTGGGCAAAATGGCGTTAAATTGTGCCGGAGCCGAGTTTTTATCTTATGATGAATTTGAGGCCGGCCTGAAAAGTTATAGCGCTTCTAATAAATGTTTATTTGTCAAGAGGTCATCAGAAGCAATTAAAGATGGCTTGTTAGCGTGTGTCGGGGTCGGATGGGCGGCCTGCACACGTGTGGCTGTGTGTGCGTGACGGGGAAGGGGGGGGGGGGGGGCCGCTATCGGTCCGGGCGTTGAACGTCGCATATGCGTCAGTTCCCCCCCCCCCCCCCCCCGGGCAACTGATCATTACAATAATAGGTAGTCTTGACCTAGATCTACGTAATGAATTGTGCGCTGGTCAATGGAACCAAAAGTTGCCGTATGCTCGGCTCTACACAGCAACACAACTTTTTCTTGGTAAACAATCGAGATGACACTGGCATGTGTATTTGAACGAATCGGTCTTTTTTTTTTACACAGCTCATAATATGCAGGTGCCAGGAGATCTCATAATCTTCAATTTTACCTTTTTCTACAACAAAGAATGTGGGGAACATGGGGGGTGGGGGCGGGGGCGTATCAATGAGGCGGCGGGCATCGGATCGGCAGACAAGGTGCGGGGGAAACTAAAAATTGGCGGAATATTGGAAGCACTGAACGTTAGATCTATAGAACGAAGACACTTCCTTTTTTTCCGGACCCATGTCCGAATTACATTTCTTCTTATTCGGACTCGAGTCCGAATATGAAATTTTTTTATTCGGGCTCGAGTCCGAATATGAAAAAATGTTATTCGGACTCGAGTCCGAATAATGACGGCCTTCGTCCTGAGCTAACTGAGAGTGGTGAAGTTACCCAACTCTAATCTACTGTGACTCTAAGCTGTTACTATCAGTACTATCACCATGTCACTGGACTGGGCTGGGACCAGGGAGTCGGAGGGGAAAATTCCGGTACTTTTTTACTTATGCACCCGTCTCTTGTTCACGTTTCATATTTAGCAATGACCACGAAAAACCTTTTTTTGCCAGAAAGTGTTTGCAAATAGGTGCATTTTAGCTGTATCTTCACAGAGCATGGAACTTTTTGAATTTTTGAAATCCATCAATAAACAAAAAAGTTACGAATTTTTTAATTAATTAATTTTTGGTACACTAAAAAAAAACCAAAATATGGGACGTTCTTTGGTGAGTTTTGAGACAATATTCGTCATAACTCGCTCATTTCTCGGAGTATTTAAAAGAAACTTGGCAACCTAGTACATTTTCTAGTGCAGAATCTAGTCCTGCATTCAGATTTTTCATAGCTATCGTATTTTTTGAGTTATGAAGACGTTTATAAAAATAGGTAAAAATGTGGCGGTTTTCAGTGCGTTTTGAGATAATATTTGTCATAGCTCGCCTATTTCTTGGAATATGTAAATGAAACTTGGCAGTCTAGTACATTTTTTAATGCAGAATCTGGTCATGCTGTCAGATTTTTAATATCTGTCATACTTTTTGAGTTGTAAAGATATTAACAGGTAAAAAAGTTGCGTTCTTTACAGATTTACAAAGATTATCAGTCATATGTTCACCCAAAGTCATGATATTTGAATGAAACTTGGCAACATAAAAGGTTCCTCCTTGCCAAGCAATGCTCTAGATCAGTTTGTCACAAAAATGTAAGCAGAGAGCTGGATTTATTAGTCTAATAAATCCAGTCTGTACTAGTAAAAGCATGCATACTTTGTTAGAAAATAAGATCGTCTCTGTATTATATCCATTGTTGGACAGTGTCCTGTTGTGTGGTAGATTAAGATGCGTTCAGATAATATAGTTTACAAGTCATGGGAATATTTCGCATGTTTAGGCTACAACTCATACAATAAATGTAACATATTTACACCATCCCCCTTCTCTCTCTCTCTCTCTCTCTCTCTCTCTCTCTCTCTCTCTCTCTCTCTCTCTCTCTCTCTGTCTCTCTCTCTCTCATGCGCACTCACGCACGCATGCGTGAACGATAACAATGTATAAACGGGACTATCTTTCCAGACTGGACTAAATAAGTACCATACTCTTTAATAACACTCTAAATGCCTCACATTTCCAAACAGAGCACACAGGACGAGTCCAAGTGTGTGCTTTCCCAAGAGGGGGGAAATAGGCTTTCATAACGCAAACACAATGCCATACCACTTCTCAAGATGTTTGCTTTTCTGTTTCTATTCTTCGGGAAACGTAGCTTTTTTGAGAGCATCCGAGCAAAGGAATGAATGGAAAACCATGATCGCCGATGTCTGTCGCAGATCTGGCACTGGATGATGATGATGATTCTTCTGTCATGCAATCGAGCAAATAAAAATGACTACATCTATTGTTTTGTGACTAAAATGCAACAAAAACGCAAGTTATCAAGGCCCCCGTTTGGTTTTCAAGTATCCTTCCCCCCCTTTCCGGTTCACATAAGCGGGGCCCCGTTCTTAGCGACCGATGGCTGATGACGTCACTCAGTGGACATTTCCCAGCCGCCGGTCGTTCACCCAGCACGCGAAAATGGCAATGCCGCTTTTTCCCTTAGTTACTCCCACATTTTTAAAGATTAAGCGAAAACCACTAAACACAGAAGCATGAAATTTTAAAGGAATAAAGAAAAATGGTGTACAACGTATCAGTCAGTTTGACAAATCACAGCTCCGAAAAATCTTCAAAGCGCACCACATCAACCACTTTCGCAAACGTTTTCGACTACTTCTTGGATGGGTACAAAGTTGTCAAACTGTATACTACGAGATTGACCTCTTTTCTGATTGGCTGCCAAGTTTCATTCATATCCATTCACGAGAAGCGGCGTGAGAGTGAGTTGAAGACAACAACCTTTGCGTTAGTGCGTCCCACGAAACACCCCGCTGCGTGGGCCAAAAATCGGCAGAACAAAACGCCCTCGGTGGGCATTGCTATTCATATACTTTTTTTCTAGTTGTATTTTGCATGCTGAACACGAATAATATATGGCCTTCATTTTTGTCGCAAGTCAATAGTTATTGAGTTATTGATGTTTGAAAATATAATATTTGACTTGATTTTAACAACATGGGGTGTTTCAGGGGGGCATGCCCCCCCCCTGCATTTCACAATGATTTGATGTTTTGGCAATTAGGATTGATATTTACTTGAAAACAATTGATTTGCAAGGGTTTTAGTGGCCATATATATGTGTGTTCTACAGCAAAAATTATTGCAGTTTAGCCGTCAAATCAGTGCATTTGTGTGTGAGTGCAAAGTAAAAATCTACCAAAATTCCAGTATTAAGTATTGATACTGTGTAGCCTACATTTTGGTAAATGGTAAAAGAATATGTGTTTCTTTTAGAATTCTTGGAAATGCAAGCCTCGTACGTCCAGAATATAAAAAATGGTTTACCGGTAATTGGAATTTAATGAAAATAATAGTAAGAATTTTTTTTTTTCTTCTTTCCTTTACTTTAAGTTTGATATCGTTGGACAGATCTCAGACGATATAGGAGTAGGTTGTTCTATGAAGCATGTGTACATGAAAGTGACCTAGAAAGAGGTAGGCCTAGCCTTAAAAATTACCTAAGTGAATGACTGATAGTGAAGCCTAAAGTGTCGGCAATCATGCATCACGTCGAATTTAAGTCTTTATCTAGTGATGATTCTTACTCCACTGTTGTGGTACGTAGAACTAGAGAGTGACTCGGGTAGTGATATAATTGACGATGGTTTTGCTCTGCCTGAACTTCAGACGCGGGTGAGGGGAGCACTAATATTATATAGGAATCTTTGCTTCTTAATTTTTAGGTGTTACAATATATAGGTCTTTTGGAATTTTGTATCTATTTGAATATTTTTATGCTTTTCTTTTAGATTAAAGGAGTTTTCATCTATTGAATCTGAGTGTGCTCTTTTGTCTCGCAATTGAAATTGGATAAAAACAAATTGCTTTGTTTAATCTCCTTGGGTCTTTGCAAGCGGCTCTAAAAGTTGTCCATGACTGAAATAATTTAAAAGTTGAGTAGTGAAGACCACTACAAAGTAAGGTTTTGACACCTAATCTTTGATGCAAGTCTATAGTAAGTCTGAGTGATTTATATATTAATCTATATTTGTGTCTAGACGCGGTGGAATCAGGCGCTCGTCAGTTTTTGGGCATGTGGAGTTGTGGTATCACCTTAAAGTTTGTTCTGAAAAGTACCCATTGTTCTTGGATAGGAGTCGAGATATTTGCGATTAAAGAAAGAGGGGATTGCTTGGTTTCAGAGGTAAATTTACAAGAAAAATGGCCGCCAAAGATTGGTAACTTCCATAGTTTGAGAGTCCTTGGAAACTGAAAATATACATTTTGTGTGCCTTTAAATGATCAACATGTTTCAGTAAAATCCTCTCCGAAATGGGCATAAAAGATGAAAATTAGATTAAAATCGCCCAAAAAAATGTCGTTCTCTTCAATTTCATTATTTTGACGAGCGCCTGATTTCACCATGGTGCCTTAATATATACATGTTGTGCAAAACTTTACATAAAAAATTGGCCTATTTTCATCAATACCGCACTTTAATGAACACCATCATGAAACACAAAAGTACTTTTCATGATCACTTTAATGAACATGAAACACAAAACTACTTTTCATGATGCACATGTTGATGTCTAGACGGTTTTTGGAGTAATGGCGAAATTACCTGAATACTTTTGCAATATTCAATTGTTTAATCATCGCTTCTTTTATTTTTCAGATGCCCTCCTTTTTGTTGACCAACTTCAACAATAAATCATGACGTCCAGTCTTTTGTGTCTTGATCTTTCCTTTGTGGAAGGGGTGAAGTATGGAGTGTGAACTCTGACTTAATCATTGTCAGCGCAGTTTAGCTCACAATTCAAATGTATGGGTGATCATCCATCTGAAAAGATGCTGAGATACAGAATGTAATGTAGAAGCTGTCAGCACAACCAGTTTTTTTTTATCGTGTTTATATTTGGATACTCCCAGTATCGAGGCCGTGAGATTCCCACCATGATGATGTAAGAGGAAGAGGTATATCTCGAAAACTGAAATCCTTGTGACAAGGTTTTCCTCTGAGTGACTGTGAGTGGGGAAGTGCCAGTAAACAGGGTCGAAGAATCCACCCAGAATGACATCAAAGAAATCCCAGATCTCTGTGGAGCAGGAGGCGTTGCTGTGGGATGAGAAGATTCTTACACTGGAGACTTCCCAGGGTCTGATCCGGGCCGTCATCTTCTACATTATCAAATGCTTTGGCATTTTTCAAGGGAAGGAGCTGCGGCAGCTGAAGACTGATTGCGTCAACTTTGGTGCGGACGACACAGGGAAGTATGTTTCTCTAGATCTTCGGAATGTAGTCAGCGCAGGCCGGTTGATCAAACGCTATGACGACCCAGGGAATCCGAGAAGTGTGTACAAAATCTTCAAGAAGTACTGTGGGTACTTGGCAAACGAAGGGCCACTGTTAGTCCGGCCCATTACGTCCATCAAGGATTACATCTGCTATAGCCCGTGGCCTCTGGGTATCGCTGTCATCGACCAAATGGTTCAGACCATGATGGAGGAAGTAGGTCAGAACCAGAACTTCGGCAACGTCTCGGTGAGTCTCCTGGCGGTGAACACGCTGAAGAACTTTGGAGCTGGCAGCCATTGCATCGGCACGTGGGTCCTTAGGTTGTTTGCCATGTACATCAAGCTGTTCCAAGATGAGTACCGCACTTGTACGGCCATCAACTGTGAGGAACAAAGCAGCGACGCCTGCCTCATGATCAGCAGAGTGCTGGACCCGCCCTACCCATCGGATGCTTCGGAGCTCTTGAAAAAGATGGAGAAGAAAGAACGCGACGTGCAGAAGAACTCCTCGGAGAGGCAGGAAACATTTAATTCCTGGATGACCAACATCATGTCCGAGAACGAGGAGAACACGGACAAAGTATACGTGAAGGAGGAAATCATTTCTGTGGAAGACGAACCCCAGGCTCAAGTGAGTGCGAAGGTGAGTGGATCCCTGGCAAAGGGTCAGCTGAAGAATGGAAAGCAGAAGATTCCCACTCCAAAGATGAGTAAAGTAAAATCTCTCCTGTCTGGCGGGTCACTTCCTGAGAGTGGGAAAAAACTTTCTTCCTGGGGTAAAAATTGTGAAAAGAACAAAGCACATTCTAAGGCTGATGATGCAGCAAAGGTTAATGATGTAAACGTCGCTAATATCAAAACAGAGCCACCAGATGAGAGTTCCTCTGAGCTGAAGATCATGACGGTGCTGTCAATTACTGATAGCGCTTTCTCTGTGCAAGTTGACGAAGGGGAAACGATGAAAAAACGACAGGATTCTGGTTCGAGAATGGAAGACAGTGAAAAGAATGGGGTGTCACATGGAGCTAGTGTAAGTAATGGTAGAAAAAGAAAAAGACTGGATAGCAATGAACAAGATTGTGATGTGGAGGCGCCCGAAAAGAAATGGTCAGCTTCTAGTGATGAAGATCCTGACCCCATGGAGTGGGAAGGTAAGGAGGGAGTGGGAGAATCTGTGACCAAAGAGAACAAATCAGAAGAGAATGGCTCAGACAGTGACGACGGCTCAAACTGTCTGGTCATTGCTCATGTGGACTCTCCGGCCGCTCAGACTGACTCTGACATTAAAAAGGTTGATCTGTGTGAACCTGAAGGCAGCAATACTTTTGATGGAGGAACTCCTGATCAAACGAGAAGCGCGGGCAGTACTGTGAGCGACACAGACAAAGGAAATGATAGTCCCCGTGTCGTGTCATCAGCAACTTCAGAAAGCTCAAACGTCGAGTCGAAACCAAAAAGCAAGAGCAATCAGCTTCCCCCGCCAGACACGAAGAAGGACAGCATCCACATCCTGAGGAATCTGCTCCTTCAACAGCGAGTTGAGAACAACAGCTCTGAGACGTCGGCTGCTGGTTGTCATGACGATCGTGCACTGGACAATGACGGAGAGGCTCACAATGTCGATGATGCTGAAGGTGGAGACTCGGATTTCTCCTGTTCCAGCCCTCCGGTACTCAGCCCCCAGGCAGCTTTGCCGAGTGACGCAGAGAGCAAGCAGGAAGGTCAAAACACACCTGTCACAAAACAGCAGGCAAGTGAGTCACCATCCAAGGCTCTCGACATTGTCAAGTTTCTCGACACTGCTCAGTTACAAATGCAGAACTTACTGCAGTCGTCTTTGACAGACAAAGTGGACCTGTTCAAAAGTAAGGAAGGGGGGGATGAGAGCGTTTCTGCCTCGAGAACTTTGTCACCGGCTGCCAAATCCGCGGAGCAGCCACAAAAGAGTGAACTGTTCTCAGCAAGGAGAAGCATCGCCAAGTCGCGAAAAGACTCCTCTCAGGAGTGTCAGTTTGCTCAAAGCAGTGTGTCAGAGTCATCCAGTTCTTTGTCCCAAAAATCTTGTTCAACGCCCTCTGACTCTGATGTCCATTGTCCTCTCTTGAGGTCAGTCCTTCAGGGTCAGACGTCGCCTTTAGACCTACCTGGCCGTGTGGGATCGACTGATGAGTCATCAACCGCGTCTGACGGTTCCACCAAAAGCTCAAGGTCGCCTGGCAGTAAGCTCCCTTTACAGCTCCAGACGCAGCAGGCTCTGACGCGGGCTGAGAAAAGGGACCAAAGTCTGCTGGTGGCTCACGCAGAACGCCGGTCCCAGCTGAGAGCTTATCTATCTAGTACCCAGGAGGGTGTTGGTAGTAAGGTGTTGTCTCCCAGCAAAATGCCGGGCTCCCTCAAAAACCTCAAACATCACTCTAGTCAGTCCTCGAAAGTACGGGGCTCAGAGACTTCTTTATTGTCACAGACACAATCTTCATCGTCATCGTCGTCGTCAAATCCATCCCTTATGTCATCGTTGTTCCAGTCGGTTTCCTCTGGTGCGAAGAAGAAAAACACCGGTGTTTATCAGTACCTTAGCAACCACACGGAGAAGGCAGTGTATCAGACTCTACAGGTGAACTCAAAGGATGATTCGCACACTTTCTCCATGGCCGATTTACCCTGGAGCTGCTCTCCGGGGAGACAGTCAAGGGCAGCTAACTCCATACATTCATCCACAACATCAGAGATCAACGTGGGCGATTATTTCCCTTCAGGCACTGTGATACCAGCGTCTAGCTTACGTCTGCTCACACGGCAGGGTCCCCGTGGGATGGAGATGGTGTTGAAGTTTGATTACAGTTGTCACGGCAACAGTGGCAGTGCAGACTGTGACATGAGCAGCCAGGCAGAAGAAGAGGGAGGCGATGATGTTTCTATAGGTGGACAAACCACGCGTAGAGAGCACTCGTAGCAGACAATGTCCAAGGACAGTACGATGATCTGAGAACTTTCTGCTCCTGCTACCTTCAGGGATGAGGATTTTTGGCTCCCCCCCCCCCCCCCCCAGTAATTTCTATGATTTTTACAAGAACAGATGTTGTTCTGAGCGTTTCATCAGCAAGTTGTTCGAATGTCCTGAGCCCAGAAACTGTTCCATTCTTGTAACAATTATACCTATTACTATTATTTTATGTATCTTTCCTCGCTTTGTTGAACATTATGAATTTGAATTTTTTGACGAAGTAAAATATTTCTTGAGCTCATGCTACCGGTACAGCAGATTAAAAAACTGCTGAAAAATGTTTTTAAGTTTTGGGCTTAGTGCATACTATATATTTTGAATGGCTGGTAGACAGTTTTGGGATTTTTTTTGTTCAACCCCGCACTAGCTGTTTCTATTAACTGTTATTTTTGTTTGCAAATGCAACTTATAAATGTTCAGGTATTTTCACAAAATCTCGGTGGTATCCCAATTTCTTCTTGCACTATCTCCATTTTTCTGGTTAGGATGAAAATTACTTTGAAAGCACTGATTCCCAGTTGCAAAATGGGAGTTTGTACAAAATGAAACTAAAACCCTATGGTACCTGAGTGTTAACTGTAAAAGCTTTTAAGGCTCAAAGGGAACATTTTTCCACAGCTTTGACAGCTGTAACAAAATCTCCCAAGACTGGGAAGGGAAATTTATATCATCTTCAGAAGTGACTTACTTTTGTTGTAAGTATCATGTTACCTTTTTCTATTGAAGATATGATCACTTTTTGTAAGTTATTCAAGGGATGTTTACTATGATTTTGTCATTCTATGATAGTAAGTGAATCTCAGCTCTGGGAAATCTTTGCGTACTGAGGGTTTTTGGTTTTTTTCAATTCATTTTTGTAGGGACTGCTATTTAGAGTATGATTTGCTGAACTGAAATCTGAATTTTCCAGTACCTTCTGCAGAGAGACCGTGTGTATGCTTGAGCTCACAAACTGTGTCATAAATCTATTTGGATCTGCTTTTTCAGTTAATGTTTTGTCATCTGTTTTTCAGTGTTTAGGGTTCTTGCTCTGTGATCGTATTTGTTGAGACATTTTGAAAAATTAGAGGGTTTTTATTTTAAGAACATAAGTGAGGCGTCGTGGTGAAATCAGGCGCTCGTCAGAATAACAAAATTGGAGAAACAGGCATTTTCCCACCAGTTTCGCAATTTTAATCAAATTTTTGTTTTTTTGTTCAACCCTGTTATGTCCAAATATAAACACATTTTCATGTGAATTATATTGAAAAACGTTGATTAAAAAAGCTCAAAATATGTAATTTTTCAGTTTTCAAGGACTCTTTAGCTATTGAAGTTACCAGACTTTGGCAGCCATGTTCTTGCTATTTTTACCGCTGGAACTAAGTGAACTTACCATTTTCAATCACAAACAATCTTCACTTCTGCTTAAGATGGATGGGTATTGTTTTCATCAAAAGCAAGATATATCAACAAGCTTTAAGATTATACCAATAACTCCACTTTCACAAAAAATGATAAGCGCCTGATTCCACCGCGTCATGGCACATATATCGGTCCTTTATGAGTTACGGGGGGGGGGGGGGGGGGGGGGGGTCGGCTCTTGTCTTCATTTGTCTCCTATTTGTAAAATTACAATTTTGAGGATTTTTTGTAAGTAAATTGGTCACATTGGTGAAAAAGAGCTCAGGTGATAAAAGCAAAAAGACTCTCTTGAGTTGATTATAATTATACCGTATACATTACAAGCACTTTTTTCTACTTTCTGAGTTCTGTTAGTACAGAACAGTTTCATTGCTGCTATACGTGTATATATAGAGCCCCCATTTGTTCTGTACAGTTTGTCTTGGCTGCTATATGTGTATATAAAGTACCGTCTTTTGTGCTGTACAGTTTATTATGGTTGCAGGACCGTCATCTCTTATCATGTTTTATTTGTTTGTCTTTTGGGTTGTTTTTTTTGTTTTGTTTAATTTTTGTAAGGCATTTAAAGAAGTAAGTCTCAGTAGAGCTGAGTTGTGAAAATTAGACAGGGCAAGAATCAAAATTCCGTGAAATAGTTATAACAGTTATATACCGTTTTCTTTTTTTAAAACAATCTATTAGTTCTTGACTTGAGTTTGTTTTTCTTTGTTGTTGTTATTGTAGATGTTGCTGTTCTACTCCTCCTCCTCCTCCTCTTCCTCCTTCTGTTTCTTCTTCTTCTTCTTCTTCTTTTTTTTCTTCTTCTTCTTCTTCTCCTCCCACTTGGCTCGGTCCTATCGGAGACGGACGTTAAACTAGGAGGTCCCGCCCTTTAAATAACCTAATAGTGTTGATAGGGGCGTTAAACCTATACCACTTCACCATTTTCTTCTTCTTCTTCTTTTTCTTCTTGTTCTTCTTACTCTTCTACTCCTAGTCAGTTTGTGACAATACAGTGGAAACCTGATATAACAGGGATGGTGGGAGTAGAGAAAATGTCCTGTTATATCCGATCCCTGTTAAATCAGAAATGCAAGGGAAGTAAGCATTTGGGGACTAATCCAGCTGTACTTATTCATGGGTAGTTGCCCTTGCCACAAGTACCCACGAACAGGGGTTTTGGCACCAACTTTCTCCTTGCCTCCTTTTAGTAAAATTAACCACATCGGAAGAGCTTGGTCCACGGCATCTGCATCGGGTAGTCTCATCTGCTTTCGATCCAGAGCAAACTTCCCATAGCAGTATGCAGCACTTTCTTCTCTCTATCTTAATAATGGTGTGAATCGACCCTTGTGGAATGTCGAACTGGCAACAAATCTCTGCCAGTCGAGCTTGCTTTTTGTCAACAGCCTGGATTATTTCGTATTTTTTGTCAATTGAAAGGCATTTTCTCTTGCGATTGACATCGTTGGTGACACATTACGCAAACGTGTTGCTAGGTTTCGGGCTAGATCGAGGTCTGCAGCACACCGCAGCCCTCTCTCGCTTCACAAGTTGCGTGTGCTTGCTGTGGCATGGCTTGCGTGGGCTTGCTCCATCACTGCGTTACTCTCTCTCTCTCTCTCTCTCTCTCTCTCTCTCTCTCTCTCTCTCTCTCTCTCTCTCTCTCTCTCTCTCTCTCTCTCTCTCTCTCTCTCTCTCTCTCTCTCTCTCTCTCTCTCACACACACACACACACACACACACACTTTTTACACATTGTTAATGAGCCTTTGTCCCTGCTATAAGCGGTTGGGCTGCGATGAGGCCGTTATTGCCGATAACTTTTAATAGAGACAAAGAGTAGGAAAAAACGGGGATTTTAAAAATCCCTGTTATTACCGAATCCCTGTTATTACCGGGCCTGTTATATATGGTTTCCACAGTACTTTGTAAAGGTGAGAAAATCCTAATATGGACGAAAGCTTTTAGAGCAGGTCTTGATGTTCTTGGGTGTGAATTCAGACTTCAATGTGTTTATTGCACAGTGCTGAAACTTTATTTTTGTAATGAGGCAGATTGTAAAAATGTAATTTTTTTTGCATGCATGCCTGTAAGTTATTGAATGACATAGATGGTACGTGTACATTATATGCTTACACACGCACACATACTTTTATATATATTTATAAGAGCCTATTGCACGGTAGGACCCAATTGCATATCAACTTGCCAATTGCGTGGCAAATTTGCTTGCACCATCCAGTTTCGCACCAAATTATTTACCACTTTCCTCTCAAAAGTGCAAAGCGACGCTGCTTTGCAATGACGTCATGCCAATTGTGTGCTACATTTCTCCTTCTTTGCACATCATAGCTAGTAAGTAATCTATTGCCAAGCACATAAAAGTAGGGAAACAGAATGAAACCAGAATGGATCAGATCTCTTCTGGGACCTGTTTCGTATTTGTGACATGGCTTTCTTTATTTCAAACCCTCTCCCTGATTAAAAAGATGTTAACTAACTAAGCATAACTGAACTCTTTGAATTGGAAAGAAATGAAATAAAAATTTGCAGGGAAAGACTCACTGCCATTCGACAGTATGAAAGCACCACCATAAAAACAACAGCTTCAGTGAACAAAGTTTCCCAACAAAACAGAATTTATGTCATTGAACAATTTGAACTGGGTGGTGGCCTAGTAGAAATAAAATCTCTGTATGATATGGATGCATCTCATCATTATGCTTTGTATAGTTACTCCTTGGAATCACCTCCACTCTAATGTTTGCACTTCTACGACCTATGTGTCTTGCAAGTGCCGTGCATCCTCCATCTCGTCATGAAAGAACTGCTGAATACATTTGCGATCCAAGCATTCTGATCCAAAGTCAATGTCTGGATTTGGACTTCTGTTCTCAATCAATTGTGTGTGGTCATGTTTTGCTATCCTCGGCAATCTTGGGAACATTATTGGCAAAGGATTTCTTCTCAGTGACATGAAACTGGCAATGGTGCCGCATGGTGCATGTCGTTCAGCCTCTTTGTGTAGAAATTTCCCCGGAAACTAGCAACACGACATGCAGTTGGCTTCCTGCCCAGGAAGTGGCCCCTAGCCACGCAGTTGGGTCTTACATATATATATATATTATATTTATATTGTGTGTATTTATTTGTTCTGACTGATATGGACTTTTGAGTTTTTGCTTGTATAGAGCTATCATAGAAATTGTTTTGTTCTCAAGTTTGTTCGTTGCTTTAATTTTCGTTTTTTTTTTAAATGTAGGTGTTTTTTTATTGACAAAAGTTAGATTATTTTAATTATTTAGGAGGCAGGATTCACCCCTGCCTGTACTGACCAACCTATGCCAAGAGGGATACTTACTTCGCAGCAGAAAGACCTGGATACTCGATAAAAACTCTCCTTGCACAGGAATTGAACTCCATCCAATATTTCCTACGTGACAGCAAAGAGCCTGGCCACTTCACCACAGACACTAGTTTGCTTGTTTCTCAGACGTATGTTTTTCTCTGACGACTTGGAGTAAGTGGGTCTAACGTTTGTCGGACTGGTTTCGTGTGGTGCGATGGGTCCGAATAGAAAATCAAATAGGGCAGGATCAATCTGCTAGTAACTCGGAAAAGTTTGGTTTTGAGTGACTGCCGTCATTGTACATTTCTGCCAAATTGGACTTGAATCTGATGTACAAATTTGATAGATGAGAAGCCTTCCTTTACCTCAATGAGTGTATAAATAAGTATGGTGTTGTTTACAATTTTGTTCATTGGTATTTCGAAGATTAACATACCATTAATTGTGTGGTATTGTGGGGAAATCAGGCACTTGACAAAATCAGGAAATCGGAGAAACCAACATTTTTGTGAACATTTTTTTGGGGGGCTTAACACCTTTTTGTCCATTTAAGAACACTTTTATGTGTGGATTTTACTGAAACATGTTGATATAAGGAACAAAAATACTCTCATGAATTTGCAGTTTCCAAGGAATCTCAGGCTTTAGAAATCACCAAACTTCCCCTATCATTTTTTCACTAACTTTTCCTCTAACTCCAGGCAACCTCCACCTCTTTCAATAACATATGTCTATTTTTTTTAGCACGAGATGGAAAAAAATTAAAAATCTAAAGCCAGATAAATGAGGGAGCTTTAAGGTTTTAAGATCATATATATATATATCAATATCTCCACATGCCCCAAAAATTGAGGAGCGCCTGATTCCACCACGTAGTGACATATTTTCTCTTCCTCTGAGAAAGATTTGAGTGCCTCCATGAGACGTAATGCTGATTTTTTTCACTTTTTTACTTTCTACAATTTATCATCAAATTTATTCCAAACCATGAGTTTTTAGTGCAGTGACCCCTCCCACCCGTTCAATATGGAATACCCTTTACTACACTTTTTGGCGAGGGCTGTAGGTTTTTATATAACTCTAGATTAGTAGACTAGACTCAGACTCAGTGATGATTTTGATAAGCGAAGCATAATGGGGCTAGAATAATCTTTTGGTAGTCTGTCCCTGTCGTTTTATGCAAGAAAAATTCTGAAATTACGCAAACTGAGCCCAAAAATGTGAAATTATGCGATTCTGTTAATTTTAACAAAGAATGATAAAGGAAAATAATGAGAAATTATGCAAAAATTGATCAAATTTTGCTAAATTATGCAGGGTGCATAAAACCATGGGGACAGGTTTAATTCCTTATCTCCGGCGAGCTTTGGTCGAAACCCT